CCCACCTCCGGGCCCACTCACCCTGCTTCCTCTGAGCCACCGTGAGCTGCGGTCCCTCCCCACGTGGCTCTCCTCACACTCAGCACACATTTCACCATGCCCCTCTCCAGCGTGTCCGAGTCTGGTGAACCTGCAACTCTGAAGAAGTTTTTCAGGGTGGCCATGGTGAGAAACGGGAACGTGCTGGTGACAGACACGGGTGGCCATCCTCCCACTCCACACTAGGATGGCACCAGACCAAATTCTCCTGCCTGTGGAGAAGTGGGACCAACTCACCCAGCGGGTCAACGGGCTTCCTGACCGGTATGCTTTTGGTTCTGATGGTCCACACGGCCAGTCATTAGTCCACTCGGGAGTTCTCTCATTCAACAACTTTCAAGTCCCTCCAGCCCATGGGCCTCCCCCCAGGCTTCTGGTGCTAACTGCTGGGATGACACTGTGTGGACACAGCCAGTTCTCCACGTCACTCAGACAATGGCCCAAAGTGCCCACCTTACCATGACCTGCAAGAGTGGATTGACTGCACAGGAATGGATGGTATGGGAAGACATGACGTCCGGCCTGTGCTTTACGAACACAGGTTATAAAGTCTCTATTTGGTGCTTTAGGCCTGAAACAGCCCTCCAGGTCAAGGGATGCTATTGTCCTCAACACTCTGCAGACAGTAACTAGCCTCAACAGCTTCTTGTTCAGAGACACCACTGGTGAGTTAGAGAGCCAGCGTTAGATCCAGGAGTTTGTTCACATTCAAGAGTCTGAGGTCAAGAGGGAGCCTGAGCCTGAAGCTTCCCCAAGCCACACTGTTTGCCCTTCTTAACAGGGTGAGTTAAGAGCCCACGAGGCTTGAGAACTTGGAGAAATATCAGACAAAAACATTACGAAGTTTCTGTTTGATTTGTGACTTCTTGAGTAAGTCCGAACAGCAGAGGAATGAGGATGCCTTCTGAGATTTCTCAACCCATGCTGCCTAGCCTGCCCCGTAGGGCGGTGTGGTCTGATACACACACACACACACACACACACACACACAAGGACTCAGCACTGAGCAGGGAAAAACAATCAATGGGTGTCGGGTGGGTGACTGTGAATAAAGCATCAATCATGGTCTGGAGCTCCCAGAATGGGGGGACTTGTCACATGAGGAACGTCCTCAGGTCCATTCAGACCTCTGCTGATCACAGGCCTCCTCCAGATTTCAGAATTGCCCAAGGGAGTGGGAAACCATCTCATGCTGCTCTCTCTGCCTCTCAGGGGCCGCACTGTTGCCATCCTGTTCCTGACCCTGTCCCAGGGTCCAGTTCTATAAGTCTGGAGTCCTTGTGCAATTGTTCAAAAGGCTCTTGGCTGAGAGCCAGCAGCTTGCTCCCTCCTTCCTCAGCTGATCCAACGCAAGATGCTCCTCCCTGGCCCAGCTCCTCACCCTTTTCTCCAAGGAAAGCGGGCGCCTCAGCCATCTCACTGGCTGGTAGCGTGGAGATATGGACACTTGTCCTTCTAAGGAGGGTCAGACGGTCCCCAGATGCAGACAATGGAGGGAGTCACCCCTTTCCGGTGTCTGGGCCTTGGACAGGAAATTCATGTTATGTTCAGGGGTGTGAGGGCTACCTTTTCTACCCTGTCTTAGAACTTAGGAGACACAGTTTAATCAGGGGGGTGAGACTATACCAGGTCAAGCCCTCCCTGGGAATACTTCGGACTGGAGAGCTCCAGGCTGCTGTGCTTTCTAAACTTGAAGGTGGGTTTCCAAAGCCAGCGTGCTCAAGGAGCCCTAGCAAATATTCTGCCATCTCTGATAAGCATTTGTAGAATAACCATCAATACTATGGCACCAACACTGTTCTGGACCAAAGCTCTTGCTTATGGGTAAACCTGGGCAAGCGAGCAAAGGTTGGAGCTGGACATAAGCGTGTGATCAGAGGTCTGTGCCAAGTCTCTCTTCAGAAAGTCAAGGAAGAGGGAATGCAGACCAAGCTCAGCAGCTCTCAGCCTCATTTCATGCTCAAGTTTACAGTTCTCAACCTAATGCCATGTCATGTCTCAGGAAAAGGCGACCAGGTCATCTGGTACAGAGATCTTCTACTAAAGGCTCCAAGCCACCTCCCCCTTGCCCTAGGCTCTGTGAAATGTCCTCCCTCCCAGACCATGGCCTGTTGACCTTAACTGAGGCCCACATTCTGAAGAAGTACATCTCTGTGACTGTGGGTCCCCAGTAAGCCATGAAGCCAAACTTCAGGAAAGTAAAACCCACCTGGAACTCTGCAGTCCTGTCCCCTTTTGTCTCTTAAGATCCGGGGGGCTTCCCTTTGCCTTTGCCTCTCACTGAGATATAATGGTGCAGTTCTAGGGGCCAGCCCAGGGAGGCACAGTGAGGGGCCAAGAGATCACTGAGCGGGTGGGGAGAACCGCCTTTGGCCTTGGTCCTCGCCCTAATCCGTGTTAGTCTTTTCAGGAGATGTTTGTTTGTGTGTGTGTTTGTTCTTAGGGACTACCAACTCAGACCCACCCCAGAGTTCCGCAGGCCTCCCTTCCCCTGCTCCCACATGGCTCTTGGATCAACTCAGCAGCAGGAAGTCTGGGCATCCCATTTGGGGCTCCATCTGACCCCAGCACTCCCCTCTGTCTCCCTCCCCCCATCCCCTTTCTCTGCCCTCTTTAAATCTCAATTCTAGTTCCCTAACAGCTCCTTTCTTTTGTGCCCCAGCTCTTGTGAGAGAGGGGGGGTGGGGGGTGGAGAGAGAGAGAGAGGGACTCTGACTGGATTGATTACCATCCTGCCCCTGTCTTTCCTCCTCCCTCCCCTAGGTGAGCTCAGCTCCCTCACCCAGACGGGAGGCAGAGGAGAGGCTGAACAGAACAGCTGCTCCTAGACGCCATTCCCTGGGTCCTCCGCTGCCAGAGTCAGGCTGGGCCTTCGTCCCTGTGTTACCTGAGGTGCCCGGTCCCCACCTCCTTCCCCGTGAATATTATGGAATATCTCAAGGGGCAGGAGCTGCAAACCCTGGGGAGCGGAGCCTGGGACAATCCTGCCTACAGCAGCCCCCCTTCCCCGAATGGCACCCTGAGGATCTGCACTGTCTCCAGTGGGGCACTCCCCCAGCCTCAAGCCAAGAAGCCTGAAGACAGACCCCAGAGAGCCCTGCTGTCCAGCTGCTGCGTCCACATCTGTCACAGCATTAGAGGTACTGGGCATGAGGAGAGGTTCTCCTGGGGTGTTAGAGTCAGAAGAGGGACCACCTCAAGTTTTGATGGGGGAACAAAAATGACCCAAAGAAGAAGAACTCTGTTTGTGTCAGAGTTGCTTGTCCCAGGACAAGAGACCAGGCTCCTGGTCTAACAGAAAGGTCGCTTAGCACAGTCATCACTTGGGGACCCAGAGGCTGTGGGGAGTGTGGTACATGGAGGACTGAGGTGAGGAGGCCCTACCTGAAACAGATGCCCACCGCTTTCACGGCTTCACTCTGATCCAGCATACTCATCCTGTCTGGTCCAGCATCCTCACCCTGTCTGGTCCAGCATCCTCACCCTGTCTCCCACAGGGACGTTGAAGGAGGGCAAGCAGGGGTGTGGGTGGAGTAACCAGGTCTGAGGGGTCATAGGATGGGCAGGGAAGGGTTGAGTGGAGATGGGGTGAGGTCTAGGGACAGGTAGGAATGGATAACTGGAAAGAGGTGCTGTTGGGGACTCTGAGCATCTTTCCATGCCCACAGGACTCTGGGGAACAACCCTGACTGAGAATACAGCCGAGAACAGAGAGCTCTATGTCAAGACCACCCTGAGGGAGCTTGTGGTGTACATCGTGTTCCTCGTGGATGTCTGTCTGTGTGAGTAGCACTGCCTATGAGAAGCACACATGTGTGGCATGTCTGTACACAAGTATGTAGGTAATATTTGAACATCCACGTGAGGTGTGTAGATCCTGGGAATTTTGTGTACACACCAATATACAACTCCTATGGCTTCTCACACTGAGTTCAGTGGAGGAAACCTAGATGGTAGACAGGTTGTTAATAGAAGGACATTTCTCCCAAATTCCTGGGTAACCCAATTTTCAAGTTCAAGTACCTAATACTGAGCCAACAGCCAACAACAGCCATGGTGGGTTGACAGGGGGGAATGTTTCGTGGGGTTTGTGTGATTGGTTATTGTATAACATCTGATCCGTGTTTCTCTGGGGGCAGGAAAAAATGATTCAGGTCATAGAGGGTTCCTGAGAAGAGAGATGGGGTTCAGTGGTGTGGCCGTGCCCTGTCCCACACAGCAGCTGGGGCAGCCTCTGTGGGACACTAGCTGGGAACCTTGGTGTCCAGGTTCAGAGAAGGGGGTAGAAAGACCATAAATGTAGACTGGAAAGATGGCATCGAGGAACACGCAAGAGAGCATGCTGGGGCGCACGGGCCTGTGGGTGAGGAAATCGCTTCTGCATTCATTCAAGAGTTGCACAGAGGTGTTGTCTGCCTCGTGCAGCAGTGTCCCGTGCAGCAGTGTCCCGTGCAGCAGTGTTCTGCATGCTGACCAGTGCTGCAGCCTGCACTCCCCCAACTGCAGCAGCTCCCTAGCCAGTTGGTGTCTGCCCTCTTGCCGGCTTTCTGCTTTCCAGGATGCACAAATCACAGGCAAGAGACTCTGCAGGTCTGATAATGCGGGTGTTGATGGGCACTGTCGTCTGTGCCAGCTACCGATAGTTGTGCGTTCCTTCGGTGGTCGAGCAGTTCACTTGCTCGGGCCTACCTGGTGATGCTCGGAACATTTCCCTCTGACAGCAAGTCGTGCAATGTGAGGCGGAGGAGATGGGACAAGGGCTGTGGGCCCCATTCAAGCTCTTTGAGCACATGACTACCAGAGACTGGTCTGTTGATGTCTTTTCCGCTGTCACCATCTGTTGGGGCAGGAGGTTCCTCCCCTCCTTGTACCCATGGCAGCTGCCAAAGCTCACAAAGAAAGCCTTTCTCTGCAAATAACTGTCATCAAGCTGCACAAGCTTTGAATAGGGTTAGCAGTTTTCCAGCTCTCCAGAGTCACAGTGAACCATCCTGACTCCTGGGTATGGGGCTGGAAAGGGTGGAAGCTTGAGCCCCATCTGTCTGTTATCTTAGGAGCTCACTGCTCTGATGTGGGCCAGTGGTCTGGGACTGGCTCAAGTTTGCATCCTGAACCAAGCTCACTTCCTGTTGGAAAATCCTAGAGACTAGAGCTCACTGTCTATTGGAGAATCCTAGAGGACGATTCAGATGGTGTGCAGGCCAAAGACACAGATGATTCAGTATCACTTCATCATGACCCCTTCCATAGGGTTCTGTTTGGTACCCCACCAGTCCCACCCTGGGGATACCCGTGAGGATTTCTTTGTCTCACAGGAAGCCAGTTCTACCATGGACAGCTCTACTTTCTTCTATTTATGGAGCCCCCTTCTGTGTGCCAGATATTGGCATATACGTGACTTTCTGCTCCAGGAGTTAACCTCATTTCTAGATCTTTCTTCATTTGCACTCTATACCTCTCTGCTCTCTCCAAAGTGGCAGCCTCTAAGTGCGGGAAGTGTAGTGTCATATTTGTTCTTAGGCAGCCTGTTCTCCAAGCTCAGGAATGTCCTTTTTCTCATGAAAGGATTCATTGCCACATAGTGACCAGGGGTGGCTTATGCAGAGACTGAAGTCTGGGCTCTGAATTTGCAGATTTAGGCTCATCTGGGAGACCTTGAACTAGTTGCTCAACTTCCCTGAGCCTCAGTGTCCTTATCTCTATCTACCTGATCCAACGGGATTATGTGCCCATCATGTTGTGACAGCAGATTCAGAGTGCTCACCATGTGTTGCCCCATCTTAACCCTGATCAGTCTGATGCCCTTTACTGGAAGAAATGTACCAAGGGGCATCTGATGTGCACAGTACCCTGTGGCATCATTACTTCTGTGGTAAGCAGGCATGTTACAATGTGGCAGCTCTCACAGAGCTGAGTTCTCTCCCTCCTGCGTGCCCCACTCGCTACCACCCAAACACAAGACAGCCTTGAATTACGACTCTTATCCTCACAGAGGCCACCTGATATGGAGCTTACACAAACAGCCCCCTGAAAATCTATTAGTTTTTTCTAAACTGAAGGGACCGGCTCTCCTGCCTCTCCCTTGGCCTACCCCTACCCTCATGGCTGCCTGTGGCTATGACACATTTCTCCTGCTTCTTTAGACCTGAAGCCTTGCTCTCCCACTTCAGACCCTGATGCTCTGAGTCTTCTGATGAAATTCATCTCAACTTCCTTTTTACATGCCCGCCTTTCTATACATTATAACAAGATTACTTCTGGAGATATCATGCAGGAGGAACATCACTCAATCTCTGGAAGTAATTTTTTTTTTTTGTTTTTTTTTTTTTGGGCCGGGTTTTTTTTTTTTGGTTTTGGGCTTTTCTTGGACTTCCTTTGTTGGCCCGGGTTGGTTTGGACTTCCCTTTTTGGAGTTATTTTCCTTTTTTTTTTTTTCTTGGATTTCCACCCTTTTTCCTTGCCCCCCCCACCTTGTTTTTAAAAAATAAATAAAAACAAAAATCTTTAAAGAAAGAAGTCAGTGTGGAAACATTATGTGATGCATGATTCCAGGTGCATAGTATTCTGGAAAAGATGAAGAGCGGCAATGGTTGCCCGAGATTGAAGGTAGAGAGAGATAAAGAAAGAGGGTTTTTAAAGGTGGTCTCCATGCGTCAGTTACAGTGTCCGGACCACTGTCTAACCACTGTATCTTTCTGGTTAGGATTTTCATACAGGGATGGCTGTATTTACATGGAAGCCAGAGGAGTATGGGAAACTGTGCCTTTTATTCACCACAGTGAACCTAAAACTGCTTTAGAAAACAAAAACAAAATCAGGCTGGGTGTGGTGGCATACATGTTTGATCCCAGTACTCGGGAGGATATCTGTGAATTTGAGGTAGGCCTATTCTATATACGGAGTTCAGGACAGCGGGAACTACATAGGGAGACCCTGTCTCAAAACAAACAAAAACAAAAGACAGAAGGAAAACCTACCTTTATTTGTATATTCAGTTCGTTTGCTGTTGTTTGTTTGTGAAGACAGGCAGCCCAGGTTAGCCCAGAACACTCCATCCTTTCTTTCTCTCCTGAGTACTGGGAAGATAAGCCTGGGCATTCTGCTCAGATTTTTGTGTTGCTGTTTTACATTACTGAGTCATGAGCCCAGGACCTCATGCATGCCAGACAAATTCCCCATTGATGATTGATACCCCTGGTCCTTACTTTTTAAAATGTATTAGAAGGTAACTTCATTAGGACAGGAATATTGATTGGTACACACCTTTAATTCCAGCATTTGAGAGGCAGAGGAAGGCAGATCACTTGTGTTTGAGGCTAGCCTGGACTACATAGTGAGTGGTCCAACAAAAATAATCTTTACACTTAATTAGAAAGCACTATAAACTTCTAAATAACTAAAAAAAGAAGAAGTTTAAACTTTTTTTTTCCAAGACAGGGTTTCTCTGTGTAGTTTTGCACCTTTCCTGGAACTCACTTTGTAGACCAGGCTGGCCTCAAACTCACAGAGATCCTCCTGGCTCTGCCTTCCGAGTGCTGGGATTAAAGGCGTGGGCCACCACTGCCTGGCAGTTTAAACATTTTTAACAACAAAAAATGATGAGTATTAGAGGGAGTGGCTGATTTTATTCGTCTTAATTGGTCAGCATACACAGCATAGATACGTAATGAAACATTACCTTGCCCCATATATTCATGCAAGTATTATCTATCATTTTAAAAATAAAGAAGGGAATTGGAGAGATGACTCAGCATTAAGAACCTGGCAGCCATTGAAGAGGACCAGGTTTGTTTCCCGTTACCCACCTGGTAGCTCACAGTTCCATGTCTGTAACTCCAGTCCAGGGGATCTGATTTCCTTTTCAGGACTCCACAGACACAGCATGCATGCGCTGCATTTACATACTTGTCGGCAAAACACTTCCCTTAAAATAAAAATGAAGAAATATTACATATGAAAATGCCTTTGAATATTGTATTTGGTTCCACCAGGTACAGTATCATTTGAGGATCCTTCTAGAGACTCCAGACCTTTAAGTTAGCAATTTCTCCAGAAGGTCTCAGTTTACCACTACCACTGGTGAGATCAGAAATGGCAGGGCTTTACTGATCAGTTTCTGGAGCTACATACACTGTCAACAACTTCTTCCAAGGTTTCTGCAAAACTAGATCAACTTTTACTCCCATTTCACAAACAAGGAAAAGTTTCATTGTGTCAAAGAGCTTCCCTGGGGACAGGAAGTAAGAGGAGGAAGCAGGAGGCCAGTGCAGCAGCCATTGGGCCTTCTCCAAGGATGAGATTTTGAACGAGTACAATGAATACTTCATGTAAATGTAACTTTATTGACACCAGTCCATATGCTAGCTCAGTGATTAGAAGTGATGTTTCTCATGATGAAGCGATTTCCCATTATCATCCGGTCAGTCCCTACCCAGGCAGAAGTAGAACCTTAAGAAGATGTGCTATCTGCATTTCTTTCTTCTATTGCTACACTTAAACATGAGGCAAAGTCTCCAAAGAACATTTTTATTTATGACTCACTTCCACCTTGTCCAAAGGCATTAAATTTTTTTTGTACTACCAACATTTATTCGTACACACACACACTATACACGTTCATATATAATTATATCGGCAATACTCTCTTTCTGAATTTCTGAGCAGTTGATATGTTTTAATTTTACGATCACAGTTGCATCACAGTTAATTTAAATTTTCTCTTATTACTTGAGTATTTATTGTGGGTAAGTATGTCCACACCTGTTGCCTTCTCTTGCTTTTG